TTCTATGACTACCACCGTTCTTTCTTTGCAAAATTGGCTGCAGCTCTGGCTCAGTTTAACTACAGCATAAACTGGAGCAGATTGGATACTAAGCTATTCTGCAGGCATTTCACTGGCCTCAGGTCCCCGGCTTTTGCGGTCTGTGCATCCACGGTGCACTCCACCAACCTGTGCCCAAGTTCGGCTGAAGTTGAATTTGGCCACTTGACCCCTAACTCTACAAGGTCAACTAAGGGTTGAAGGATAAACTGGGTAGGGACGTTTGAGCCAATCCCAAATATATAATAATTTGATGCGGGTACTTGTAGATTTAGTTCCAGTCGCTTACTACACATGTGTGCTCACTGTTTCCGGGCCCATGCAAAAAACATGTGCCCAAATAAACTTTTCCACAAACCATACCTCACTTGCATCAATGTCACTTTATTTGCTATTTTACTACAACATCACCCCTCACAACATTTGGTTAAATTTCTCACTTTTAAATTTACACTTGCCATCTGGTACGCTTGAGTGCGGTAATTTGCAAACAGTGATAGAAAACCTGGAGTTGGTGGATGTTTTGATCAGATTTGAAGTGGAACAAGGTTTTGTGTTAAGGCCATTTAGTTCCTCTCCTTTTTCTTCATGGAGAACTAACCCCATTGGGACTGTCACGGGTAGGACGTCACTTAAACACAGACTGGTCATCGACTTATCGGCACCACATTCCTCCACAGTCCCCAGTGTAAATTCACTCATAGCAAAGAAAAGAGACTCAAGGGACAGAACGACCTGGCCTTGAAGTCAGAGAGGGACTAAGTGGGTAATATGGGCATAACCCAGATAATTTAGAAGAAAAAATGAGAATACCTTGAATGGATATGTTGAGAATAGGAATCTGGGTGTACAATCACGCAGATATTGTATCTCAAACAACCACACAAGGTTTTACCCACATGTTGAGTAGAAACTCAATTAAGAAGGTTTAAAATATAATAATCAATATCTTTATTGTATATGTTAGACTAAACACAAAATCATGAAACAAAAAACCCCACAATCTATGATAGCCCCATATATCTATTAAATACCTATTGTAAAGATAGCCAAATGAAAGGCAGCTTATATACGTAAATAGTGATGTCCCGAACGGTTCGTCGAACGGTTCGCGAACGGTTCGCCACGAACGGTTTGCCGCGGACTCATCATTGAGTAAACTTTGACCCTGTACCTCACAGTCAGCAGACACATTCCAGCCAATCAGCAGCAGACCCTCCCTCCCAGACCCTACCACCTCCTGGACAGCTCACTTAGAATGCAGCTTCACAATGAATGTAAAATGGATGCTGTCCAGGAGGTGGGAGGGTCTGGGAGGGAGGGTCTGCTGCTGATTGGCTGGAATGTGTCTGCTGACTGTGAGGTACAGGGTCAAAGTTTACTCAATTATGAGTCCGTGGCGAACCGTTCGGCGAACCGTTCGGGACATCACTATACCTAAACTGATACACACTGTATGAGGTGTCAGTATTAAGAGGATAGCTACTAGTATCAATATGTTGCAAACAAGTGTTTGTTTTCACCCAGGTTAACAGTCTGCGTTTAAGCAGCTTAAATATGTATAAGGGTGGGAGCAGATAGCTGTATAGGATTTAAACGAATATATATGGAGCAGCAGAGGGTAACTCCTTGTCTTTATAGGAGTTCAAAGTGCAATATACAGGAGTAAGAGTTTGAAAGGGTTAACTGTTTTAAGGAGGAAAAAATATCCTTTAAGTTAACCTTCAGTAGGGTTTTGATATAAATATAAGATGTAAATGTAAAAGGTAAAGAGAAGAGTAGAGACAAAGGTCCCTTGCAATAAATCTTAAGTCAAAGGTATAAATGACAGAGATACCTTTAAATAACCCTCTAGTAGAAATCTCACATAGATGCAGTATCTAGGGTATTAGCAGCATATGGCTTAAGTGGGTACATCCCATCAAGACCAGAGCATGCTATATCCCATCTGAATACTATGATAGCCTAGCATTACCCATATCTGTCAGCAGACTCTTAGCAGCTAGAATGTTGGACTATTATACTAGGGAGTTAAGATAGCTTTAGTACTAGGGATTTTGGAGACTGGGGCAAGTTTTATATATCTACTTTTAGCAAATATGGAGTGAACTATCTAGACACAACCTCTCTAAGTATCACAGTTGGGATATAGCATGCTCTGGTCTTGATGGGATGAATCCACCTAAGCTATATGCTGCTAAGACCATAGATCCTGCGTGGAATGTGTCTGCTGACTGTGAGGTACAGGGTCAAAGTTTACTCAATTATGAGTCCGTGGCGAACCGTTCGGCGAACCGTTCGGGACATCACTATACCTAAACTGATACACACTGTATGAGGTGTCAGTATTAAGAGGATAGCTACTAGTATCAATATGTTGCAAACAAGTGTTTGTTTTCACCCAGGTTAACAGTCTGCGTTTAAGCAGCTTAAATATGTATAAGGGTGGGAGCAGATAGCTGTATAGGATTTAAACGAATATATATGGAGCAGCAGAGGGTAACTCCTTGTCTTTATAGGAGTTCAAAGTGCAATATACAGGAGTAAGAGTTTGAAAGGGTTAACTGTTTTAAGGAGGAAAAAATATCCTTTAAGTTAACCTTCAGTAGGGTTTTGATATAAATATAAGATGTAAATGTAAAAGGTAAAGAGAAGAGTAGAGACAAAGGTCCCTTGCAATAAATCTTAAGTCAAAGGTATAAATGACAGAGATACCTTTAAATAACCCTCTAGTAGAAATCTCACATAGATGCAGTATCTAGGGTATTAGCAGCATATGGCTTAAGTGGGTACATCCCATCAAGACCAGAGCATGCTATATCCCATCTGAATACTATGATAGCCTAGCATTACCCATATCTGTCAGCAGACTCTTAGCAGCTAGAATGTTGGACTATTATACTAGGGAGTTAAGATAGCTTTAGTACTAGGGATTTTGGAGACTGGGGCAAGTTTTATATATCTACTTTTAGCAAATATGGAGTGAACTATCTAGACACAACCTCTCTAAGTATCACAGTTGGGATATAGCATGCTCTGGTCTTGATGGGATGAATCCACCTAAGCTATATGCTGCTAAGACCATAGATCCTGCGTCTATATGAGATTCTTACTAGAGGGTAGTGATGTCGCGAACACAAAATTTTCTTTTCGCGAACGGCGAACTTCCGCAAATGTTCGCGAACCGGCGAACCGGGGCGAACTGCCATAGACTTCAATGGGCAGGCGAATTTTAAAACACACAGGGACTCTTTCTGGCCACAATAGTGATGGAAAAGTTGTTTCAAGGGGACTAACACCTGGACTGTGGCATGCCGGAGGGGGATCCATGGCAAAACTCCCATGGAAAATTACACAGTTGATACGGAGTCTGGTTTTAATCCATAAAGGGCAGAAATCACCTAACATTCCTAAATCACAATGAATATGGATTGACACCTGACATATGACATATTGACACCTTGACA